ATTTAACCCTACTACCACTACTATTGATAAAATACCAGAGTATCTTTTAACCCTACTACCACTCTGGAGAAACATTGATAAAATACCCGAGTATCATTTAACCCTACTACCACTCTGGAGAAACATTGACAGATACCCGAGTATCGTTTAAATCTACTACCACACTGGAGACACTTGAGAAATATTCACAGATACCCGAGCATCCATTAACTATACTACCAATACATATTCGCCATCTCACGCTACTTCCAGATAGTAGAAACATTCACCGATACCAAAGGAACTTGTGGGACATGTTCATGTATGTGAAGATGTCTGAGCAAAACTTCAGTCCAATGAAAACTTCCATTCAGTTTTTGACCTCTGTTCTTTTATTTTTTTAAGTAATGACTGTTCCTATCACAAAATAATGAAATCATCATAGCGTTTGATTAACGTCGTTCACATCATTTTCATTTTGCAAGATTTTCAGGATGTTCTGTGGCGACTAGATGGAGTTCCATAACAATGTTTACAAGCTATGACATTTCAGTGAGATGACACTATATGGCACTTATTTGGCCCTACCATTACAACACACCGTCACATTCGTCTATATGGCTGCAATCAAACGTATTACTGCGGCATGTCTTTAACAGTAAAGCATCGTCATCAATGAAGTCCATTCATAACCATACAGTATTAGTTCATCAATCCACAGTCTTCTCATTTCCCGTCTGACCCCCTACCTAAGCCTACCCCAGCCATCATCACCAAACCATTTACCAACCGCAAGCCAACCACTACACACTTCCAACCGTTATGAATCAGCGCGGCATATTTTCTTGCCATCGTTAGGTTTTCCCCATTGAATCAAAACAAATCTGATACAGAATCATTATATGCAGTAAAAAGAAAAGTGTAATTTGTTGGCTGACGTAAAATTAGATCGAAGCTAGATTTTGTTCTATAACAGGAACTCGGGCATGCAATCAGCGTTAAGGACACGCTTGCGTTCGCCTGCGCTGAGATTCGATGTGATTTAAGACCGAAGCATATATATTCGAGTGAATTACATTTCATAAATGAGATACGAACGCATGCTGTTAATCACAATAAAGAAAAGATGGTGATGAATCAGCGAAAAATGTTCGGAATCGAGCTATGCGTGCAGACTTAGAACTTATTTAGTAAAGCTGACTATATAGAAGGTATCATCTTCAATTGGTTTCCTACATTACAAATCATAAGTGTGGGTACTTGAAAATATCTTGAGATGTTTACTACAGAAGTGTAACCGACAAAAATATCCCTCGAATAATTGTCTGCACGTGCAAGAGAAATATACATGTATAAAGAGGTATATATATATTAATGAAAAACCAGAAATAATAATAAAGAGAGATATTTTTTATTCACATCCTGTCGGGACCTCGAAGTCTCGCTTTGAATTGTGCGGCACTAAGCTGAATGATCAGCGCAGCACTTTCACGACATCCACCGAAGGGATAACGACACCGTCAACGATATTTATAAGAATTTATTTTTCAGACAATACTGCTACTGTAATCGTAATATAAACACAATATGCTATCATGTAACACAAAAATCATCCCGACATTTCTATCTCTATATGTCTGAATTAACTTGAAGATTGAAGAACAACATGTCACTGTGTCCCGTCCCCGACATCATTTTCCTATTAGCCATCAATGTGTCGTATTCCCAACTTCACTTTCCCATCTGACATCAATATGTCCCATCCCAAAATTCAAATTCCCACCAGACATCACTTTATCCCGTTCCCAAACTTCATTTTCCCACCAGATGTGTCGGTGTCCCATCCTCAACTTCATTTTCCTACCAGCCATTAACGTGTCCTATTCCTTACTTCATTTTTCTACCAGACATCACTTTGTACTGTCCCAAACTTCATTTTTCCACTAGACATCAATATGTCCCATCCCCAACTTCATTTTCACACCAGACATCATTTTGTCCTATTCCAAACTTCATTTTCACACCAGACATCACTTTGTCCTATTCCAAACTTCATTTTTATACCAGACATCACTTTGTACTGTCCTATACTTCATTTTCACACCAGATATCAAAATGTCCGATCCCAAACTTCATTTCCACACAAAACATGAATGTGTCCAAGCCCCAGCTCCATTTCTTATTACTGAACTGTCGTGTCCTGGCATCTAAGTTCGTTCGAAAGGTCAAATATCATATTTAACAATCATAAGTATATATCCTTCAGTTTGATATCTTTCTTCATATCAATATCTCACCCCAAACTTTATTTTCACACAAGACATCAACATGTCTTATCCCAAGCTTTATTTCCCTACCTACCAGACATCAACACGTTCATCCCAAACGTCATTTTCCTAACACACATCATGTCTCATCCCAAACTTCATTTCCCTACCTACTAGACATCAACACTTTCATCCCAAACTTCATTTCCCTAACACACATTATATCTCATCCCAAACTTCATTTTCATACAAGACATCAACATGTCTTATCCCAAACTTCATTTTACTACCTACTAGACATCAACACGTTCGTACCAAACTTCATTTCCCTACCTACCAGACATCAACACGTTCATCCCAAACTTCATTTTCCTACCTACTAGACATCAACACGTTCATCCCAAACTTCATTTTCCTGTCCTTTGAGATATTAACGTCTCTCAGTTTGATGTTTTCCTACTTTTTGTCAAAGCATGTCGGATCAGCACTATTTTACGTATTGTAACCATACAATTTAACTAGGAGGTTTTGTACAGGAATAGTAAAAAAAAATGCTTCCCTTTTTTGTCCGCTGTCATTCTTTAACGGTATTCAGCAGGAATAATAGAATATCTAAACCATTGGAACATAAACCAAGTTCTCAACAAGTCGACATACATGTTATGAAAGGGACGGTGAAACGGAAAATAGATCAGAGCTTTATATCATTGTAAAGTTAGGTATGTCAGACAAATAACGAGAAAGTTTTAAGACGAGAAAACCTCAGAATCTGTTAACATTTTGTAGACCTCCGACAACCAAGACATCAGCAGTATGTTCAGATTCTTAAAGAGGTATTGTAAAAACATCGCAGTTTTGTTTTCGTGAACTAAGATGTTTCTTTTCATCCACTAATTATATGTTAACGAAATGATAAACACAGAAAAAATGACACGGGTCACCGTACTGGTAGATTTCGTGGGCAAGAAATATTCACATTTTTTTAAAACCACGAAATTTGAGCTACGTAAAAACAAAAGAAGATTGCGCAGCACATTAACAACTATCGACATAATACAGAAACAACAGACATCTCATGTATTCAGTTTTATAAACTGTTTGTTGAAATCACGATTCGACGATGTTAAAAAATCGAAAGTAACGATTGATCTTTAAGTGAAAGATACTATTGTAGTATCAAAACCGTAACACATGATGTAATATTTATTTAGATATCCGTTAAATATTTCAGGTTTAATTGATTGTGGCTTTTGACATCTCTTCATATCTGTGACTGCCATATTTAAAGATTAGTGGAAATGGAAAGATCGATAGAATCAGAGACGAAAGAAATATACTGGAAATTTGATAGACAGAATTAGAGACATTAACGGGAGAGAAAACAATGACATACGCGGAGACAGAATTATAGACATAACATAAGTGGAAAATTGACAGACAGAATAAGAGACCATAACGGGAGACAGGGACATTGACAGACAGAATCAGAAATAAAAATCGGAGAGGAAAAGTGACGTGCAGATACAGAGAAAATAACGGGAGACAGGAACCTTAACAGACAGAATTGGAGACATAACGGTAGAGGAAATTTGACACATAGAACTAGAGACAATAACGGAGACAGGGACATTGACGAACAGAATTAGAGATAAAAACGGGAGAAGAAAATTGACATTCAGATTCAGAGACAATAACGAGAGACATGGATACTGACAGACAGAATTAGAGACAATAACGGGAGACAGAAACATTGACAGACAGAATAAGAGACAATAACGGGAGACAGGAACGTTGACAGACAAAATTAGAGACAATAACGGGAGACAGAACATTGATAGATAGAATTAGAGACAATAACGGGAGACAGAAACATTGACAGACAGAATCAGAGACAATAACGGGAAACAGAAACATAGACAGACCGAATTAGAGAGACAATAACGAGAGACAGGACATTGACAGACAGAATCAGAGACAATAACGAGAGACAGGAACGTTGACAGACAAAATTAGAGACAATAACGGGAGACAGAACATTGGCAGACAGAATTAGAGACAATAACGGGAGACAGAAACATTGACAGACCGAATTAGAGACAATAACGAGAGACAGGACATTGACAGACAGAATCAGAGACAATAACGGGAGAAACATAGACAGACAGAATCAGAGACAATGGCGGGAGACAGAACATTGGCAGACAGAATTAGAGACAATAACGGGAGACAGAAACATTGACAGACAGAACCAGAGACAATAACGGGAGACAGAAACATTGACAGACAGAATTAGAGACAATTACGGGAGACAGAAACATTGTCAGACAGAATAAGAGACAATAACGTGAGACAGGAACATTGACAGACAGAATCAGAGACAATAACGGGAGACAGGGGCATTGACAGACAGAATAAGAGACAATAACGGGAGACAGAAACATTGACAGACAGAATATGAGACAGACAGCCAGGATCAGAGACGATCTAAAGAGACAAAAAATTCACAAACAGAAAAAGAAACAATAGATAGATTTAGACACATTAATAGACTGAATCAGAGACAGTATAGGGAGATAGGAATATTGGCTGGCAGAGATTCAGAGACAATGTAGAGAGATCGGAATATTGGCTGGCAGAAATTCAGAGACAATGTAGAGAGATCGGAATATGGAAAGACAAATTTGATTAGAGACAAGAGATATATACACAGTCAGTCAGAAATAAATTGCGAAAGAGAAATAAAAAAACACTTACCCCGATTGATGTATGCTCGGTAAATATAACACTAGAAATATCCACAAAATCGACCCTGTCCAGCATCCACCTCTCACCCACATATTCCATATACTTCTCCCAGAGGCCGGCCACCGGGACATATGGACTATCCACACACCTGGACGGTCTTAGAAACTCGTGTCGCTTTAATGAGAATTTCAAACAGAAAATCCGTCCTTGGATTTATTTTAAGAATTTACGCTAAGCCATCTATGAATCACGTAAAGTTAATTTAATGGACAAATTTGTTTCCACTTCATCATTTAGCATTGAAACAGTAGCCCTCGAGATGTGTGGTACCATACTGCTAAAGTAGCAAGTTCTAGACAATTTATCGTTCACATCCTTAAATAAAATTCTCGCAGTTGTCTCTCCTGTCACATTATCAATAGAGGGCGCAGTTGATACCACATAGTTTCCAATATAATTTAATTCTTCGTATCAGATTTAGAGCTGAATGATACCGCTTCAGTCTTGATATATAGTATTAACCCTCTAACGTTTGCGGAGCCAGACACACCAGGTAAAACTATACCATCACTGTACAACCCTCACTTACTGCTAATTATCATCGGGGTTGTAAACGATTTACAATTCTATATAACTTGTAACTTTTTCAGGTCACGAAACTTTAAGTGTGCAATGTGGTGAAATTCCCATTCTAATTCAGGTGCGTCGGGATCACAAACGAACTTTAAAACATTGAATGGAATCAAATTCCTTTCAAGCGCTCCCGTGACTACGTGAAGAGAGAAAAACGTGTGAGATGTAGTCCGCTTTAAACTGGCTGTTAACTCCCCTCGCCTATTTCAGAAAATATGCTGACTATATAACAGCGTTTCATTGATTTGCTGATCCAGTGTGACAAATGCTTCCCTTTCTTGTCCGCTGTCATTCTTTAACTTGTCAACAAATAGACATCTCCATTCTGTATCACAGAGCACGACTATTGCTAGACGTATATGGATGTCTTACATTGATATACTTTGCAATTAAATGCAATAGCTCCCTTTTGTGTTTTAGAAATCTACACCAGAGTCTGTCTCGAGCCACAATACAAATACGTCCGCCCACATCTAATCTCAAGTGCCTGTACATGCATGGGATTACGTTGTAGTTACATGTACCACCAAATCAAGATGAGCGCAGAACAACGCCGTACCAAAGATGCATCAGTACAGAGGAACAAACCGAAAATTGATTAATTTAATTGTTCAAAAACGCAAATCATGTCTCGATGATTCAGTGAAGGAGCTGTGACATGAATTGTACATTATTGTAGGTAAAGACGGAGGAGAAACATATTGTTATTGAAAATGTATACTGACTTTGTTAAGTACAGCGTTATGACAACTGTTATTATATCTCTCTCTCTCATGTTTGGAAACAAATGCCAAAAACGAGTCATTAAAAACGTCACGTAAAGCATAACAGCCATGAGTAATTAATTGTTTACAAGTTATATCTAGTACAAGTGTTACACAACACGTTTAAATATAAACAGTAGGAGCTATATTTAAAGTAATAAACTTATTGATTTCAGTTAAGGACGCGTGAATTTAAACGACGCAAAGCAGACATGAAGAAGGTCGTTTGTACCATAGCATTTGTTAAAATTGATAAACAAACCTAATCTCTTGAACTCGTTCGTTTAAATTGGAGGAAATCCTTGTGGATCTTCAGTTTAACAGAAGTTAAAAGATCAATCATACTTCTGAAAGTTTTCCAATTTCTCATTCATAAAAAATAGGTTTGCCAATTCATTTGTGAGTTAAATATATTCACAATAACGTTTAAAAACGACATTCCAATTGTTATGACGTCATCTATACCAGAATTATGTTTTAACACATTTCAAACCGTTTGTTTTCGATTTTTAAATTCAGTTACATATTGTAAATTTTAAAAAAATCAATTTAAAATCTTTTACATTTTGTTCCTTTGTCTTTCTAATCTATTAGGGCACAGATAGTTTTGCTGGAGATGCCTGACGTCATACGTTTGGCGGGTTATTTCAAACTGCGATCAAGAGCATTTATGCTTGTGTTCATATTTCATTGCCATCATAGAAATAAACACTGAAATACTGAACAACCTTCATTTGGATAGTAAGTAAATAACTTGTCATTTTAAACTTAATTTTAAAGGTGTACTTCTCGGATGTCTCTAGAGCCTGAGCGAAGCTCTTGAAAGACAAGAAAGTACGCTCCAAATCTGAAACTGAACTGAGTTTTCTCCCTTGCATTGCATACACGTGTATCAACTTTTGGGATGATCCGATATACCGGACGTACATGTAGTGCTCTTTTTTCCGAAATAAAAGAGAGTGAGAGAAAATGATACATTGTATGTTCGTGTTAGAGTCTTGCAAAAAAAATCACGTGTAAGTATTTGCCTTATATTAACGTGTAATTGGCGTAACGTTATTGCAACCTGTATCTATTTTGTTTGATAACTGACGAAACGTTAGAGCCACAAGATACTTTAATTTACATTACAGAGCCCTAAGCGTCTAAGGAAACGTCCTAATAGCTGATGTAAAAACAATGACGAGACGACAAAAACCATTAGATTACACTCGTAGTCAATCAACCATACAATAAACTGGATGTTACGGTGGCTTATTCCATACAATTCGTCTTTTCGCAGGGCGAAAAAACGATACAACGAAAAGACGAAAATCAGCCAAAACGAAAAAAAACAAAAAAAAACAGAAAAAACGAAAAGACAAAAAATGTAACGATATTTATCAATCCCGTGTTAGATCGTGATGTGTTGGTAGTATGTTATATTTATCAAACCCGTGTTAGATCGTGGTGTGTTAGTAGTATGTTACATTTATCTAACCCGTGTTAGATCGTGGTGTGTTGGTAGTATGTTACGATATTCACCAAACCCGTGTTACATCGTGGCGTTTTGGTAATATGTTACGATATTTAACAAACCCGTGTTACATCGTGGTGTTTTGGTAGTATGTTATATTTATCTAACCTGTGTTAGATCGTGGTGTGTTGGTAGTATGTTATAATTATCTAACCCGTGTTAGATCGTGGTGTGTTTGTAGGAAGTCACGAAATTTAGCAATCACGTGTTTTACCTTGGTGTGTATGTTAAAATAACATGGTTTTAACAATCAAAAGCTGCTGCTTGTAGCTCTTGGTGTGGAGTAGGATTAAGCGATTGTTACCAACCACGTGCTAAAACCGCATGTGTATTTAAATGGTATGTTGTTTAGCAATCGCGCACTACTTGAAGATATTGGTGTGTATATAAGATGTCACGCTTTTTACCAACCACGTGCTAGATCTTAAACAAAACCGTATGTTTGGTTTAAACTTGGTCACGGTAATCCCGCTGCGTGCTATGAGTATCATATTCTGTTTTTGAGAGTGATTAACTGCTTGCAACCTACGTGAATGTCTACTCTAGGGCAAGATGTAGAAAGAAGTTTATTTAACTATAGCGGATAAATAAATAGTAAATACATTTATCTCGCAAGCTCATTCGATCAGAGAAATAAAATGTGAATATCCCATGTATCATTTATGTTTATAAGTTGGTCAATGATTGAAAACGTCACTAAAAAGGTCATAAACACAGGTCCAATAACTAACTATATAGACCAAGCCACTGAAAGGTCATAAACACAGGCCCAGTAACTAACTATATAGACCAAGCCACTGAAAGGTCATTAACACAGGCCCAATAACTAACTATATAGACCAAGCTACTGAAAGGTCATTAACACAGGCCCAATAACTAACTATATAGACCAAGCCACTGAAAGGTCATAAACACAGGCCCAATAACTAACTATATAGACCAAGCCACTGAAAGGTCATAAACACAGGCCCAATAACTAACTATATAGACCAAGCCACTGAAAGGTCATAAACACAGGCCCAATAACTAACTATATAGACCAAGCCACTGAAAGGTCATTAACACAGGCCCAATAACTAACTATATAGACCAAGCCACTGAAAGGTCATAAACACAGGCCCAATAACTAACTATATAGACGAAGCCACTGAAAGGTCATAAACACTGGAAAAGGCCATTCAAAGGCCATGTCCACGTGCCCACTTACTAGACAAGACCACTGATACGTCATAACGGAAGGACCAATATATGCACAAGATCACTTAAAGGCCAAAACACAGGTCAGATAACTAGACAAGCTACTAAAAGGCCATAATCATGAGTTCAATAATTAGGCAAGGCCACTGAAAAGCCATATTCACGAGCTCAACAACTAGACCAGGCCATTTTCAGACCATAAAAACATACTCGAAATTACGACCCGACCACTAATAGGTCATATCTATTGGTCCTATATTAAGTATATACACAAGGCTACCGAAAGGCCATAATCAAGGACCCAGAAACTAGATCAGGTCACAAAAGGGCCATAACCATGGACCCAATAACTTAATCAGGCGACTGCGAGGTTTAGTCAACTGGAAGGCCATAACAACGGGCCTAATATAACAAAGAGTCCAATTACTAGACAAGAGCGATAAATGGCCTAGACCACGGGCCCGATATCTGGACAAGCCCACTACAAGACCATAACAATTCCCGGTAGTGTAACGAGTCTGTAAACCATACGACGGGTGTAAATGGTTTACTGATCAGTCTAGGAAGTCAATGGTTATTTGTGATATCCCGTACAAAGGGAGATAACTTTGATAAACCTATAAAGTAATATACTTCAGTGATTCTTATACATTGTATAACAATCTGTTTACTAGTTAATATTTCGATATACGTATATTTTATGAAAATTAATTTATAAAATATGCACTTTGTCTTTTTAATAACAAATAAAATATGCATTTTGTCTTTTATGAACATATATCTCGCAATATTGATGATTTTAACGATAACATGCACATTGGCAGAGGTAATTGTATCGTGGAATAATCCGACGAAAATACAAAAACATGTGACAAAATAAAATTACATTGTAGGAGACAATATACTTCAACAAAAATACACGCTTTATCAATATAATTACTAAGATTAAAAAAGGATGGACGATTAAATAAATATATATTTCGAAAAACAGATGATGAGCATGGCAAGATCAACTTTGAACGTGTTGCTCTCTCCCAGGGTTACCTACTGAACGTGTCGGTCTCTCCCAGGGTTACCTACTGAATATGTCAGTCTCTCACAGGGTT